AGTGTACCCTTTCGGGGATAAAAGGCGTGATGTTATGTTATGTTATTATTTGAGAATTGCGGAGATTGGGGAAGGGGGGTAATTGGGCCTTCGGTAACCTCACTTACACGACGAAACACAACGCTGTGGTTGTTTCACTGTGGTTTTCTGCTCGGCCGTGGTATCATTCGGTGGTGCCGAGGCATGGCTCTCCCACACTTTAAAAATTAACATTACTAACATTTTGATCTCAAAACTCAAACAAATAAAGTATAATTTACAATAACTCACCAAAATACTTATGTTTGAGCGTGTCGTACGTGAAGAAGGACACGCCGGCGTAAGGGATCACGCCTAGCACCGTCGCCGAGTACCCTCTGAATAACACGAACACACATACATTACATTATCATAATATATGTACATTGATATCAAAAGAATATTGCAATTAATTGGGTACCAAAGGCCTCTTCTCACACGGAGAAGGTTTGAGCATTAACCACCACGCTAGCTCAATGCGGGGGCGATTTCAAATTTATAATTACAAATTACAAGTCCAGGTTTCCTCACGATGTTTTCCTTCACCGTTTGTCAGTGGTGTCTAAATATTCTTAGAAAGTACATATAACTCGGAAAAGTCACATTGGTACTTGCCGTTGGTAGGTTTCAAACCTGCGCCCTCATGCATGAGAAGCGGTCGTCTTAAACTTCCGAAACGCCACGAGAATCGAAGAATTTATTTGAACGCTCATATCTCCGAAACTACTGGACCGATTTGAATAATTCTTTTTGTGTTGTATAGTCCATTTATTGAGGAAGGTTGTAGGATCCATAACATCACGCTACGGTCAATATGAGCGGAGTATTTAGTACATACCTATAAAGGGTCCTTAAGCCCTCATCCCTGGCTACTCTAACGAATACAGTCCGCAATGTGCTGTACTCGGCTACGTTGGTGACTGCCATACGAGCCCGCGCCATGTCTAGAGGGTAGGTAGCGGATTGTGACGTCACTCCCGCTAGGGAACCCGCTATTAAGTGGAGGACCGGGTGTGCTCTGAAATAAACGAGAAAAATATGTCCTGTATGTTATGTCATTACATATTTATTCATTAAGTAAATATACTATTAGTATTTCTATACTTAATCATTAAACATCACGCCTTTTATCCCCGAAGGTATAGGCAGAGGTGTACATTATGCCACTGTACAATGTAACACACATTTTTCACTATTTATGTTATGAGTCCGAGGGAGGGAGTGAGCCTATTGCCATATACCGGGCAGCCGGGCACAATTCCAGACTCCGTGCTACTACGGAGATTAAAAAAAAACCCAGTAATACTTTGCCTGACCCGGGAAACGAACCCGAGACCCGGCAGTCGCACTTGCGACCACTCGGCCAACGTCGTGTGAGTGAGGTTACCGGAGACCCAATTCCTCCCCCTCCCCAGTCTCCCCAATCCCCGAATCCTCCACAATCCTCGAATTCCAAAAAAGCCGGTAACGCACTTGTAACTCCTTGGTGTTCCAGGTGTCCATGGGCGACGCCGATTGCTTACCATCAGGTGATCCGTCAGGTCATTTACCGGCTTATTTCATATAAAAAAAAAACATTTTTTAAAACATTTCCAATACCTAAATTAGTTTAAAAAATATTAATATCGTGTCTAAGTTTTTGTTAATTCCTCGAAACAATTTCAGTCCGCCGTGGGATACATTTTCTTAACTTTTAATTACCCCAACTTTCTGTCGATTTCAAACTCAAAACAATACCTTATTTAATTCATTTGATACCAATGACAACTTAATAATCTAACGCCAGTTTCCACCAACCTCTTCTAAAAAAGAAACTCCTACCCTAAGATAGATAACACTTACAGTCATTTTTGCTTTCATCGACCTACAGGTACAAGGAAAGGATTAGTGTACGTGCTACGTTACGCTAAGTGGCTTTTATATAAGTGATAGTTTAGGGGACGAAACGCTTTCGTAACTAAATAACTACTCACTTAGCACTTTGCGGCGTATCAACTCCGAGCGCCTTCTTCCACTGTTCATGCGCAGTGAACTGTATGGCGGCGTACGGCACTATACGCGCCATAGTGGCACTGTTACCGCGCCAGAGTGCCAGCAGCCCCTCCGTGCGGGCACTCGTCAGGAGGAAGTTTATCGCTGCCCGCCATGAATAAGGAGTCTGTCTGTAAGTGATAAAAGAATATAAGACTATTTCGTGATTGGTGACTTGAAGCCCCGCCATATTGCTAGAAGCCCCTCCGTGCGGGCACTCACAGGAATATGCACCCGCCATGAATATGCCTTTAATAACGCCTTTAGTGTTGCGGAGGTCCATGGGCGGCACAGATTGCTTACCATCAGGTGCTCGTTTGCGCCACCATACAAAATCTAAAAGAGATTGCAATACATACGAGATCTGGAAGTTAATCTTTGTGCGATCTAGCGGTGCTATGGCAGTCTTGGCGATGGCTCCAGCGGTGGCACCAGCTACGAGTGACGTCACCACTGTGGTGCCACGCCCTAGCCGCGAGTGGTCCAGGGGAGCCTTGTGGACTGCTGGCTCTGGAACAAATTACAAAGGTAAAGTATACTATGAAGTGTAAAGTCGTGGTGGCACGGAGGTTTAAGACCCGCTTTTCATGCATGAGAATGCGGGTTCGAAACCAGCAAGTATGCCCACGCATTGAGCAAGCATGGTGATTAATGCTCAAACTTTCTCCGTGTGAGAAGAGGCCTGTGGAAATCATCACCCCAACCCTTCACGAGTTGGTCTTGTAACCGGCTAAGGGACCGAGGCTAGCGAATACGAATACGCTTTCAACGCTCTGATTGGCCGGCTCCCATGAACCACCCAATCAGCCCGCCTGCCTGCGGAGATTATCACAAACCCTCTTATGTAGAGGAGGCTACTATCGTAAAGAACTGTTCGACGATGAAACTCTACTTTCATTTTAAAAACGGGACTGATACTCATGCGCTGCTGTTGGCCAACAGAAGCTTTATTTATGGGCTATAAGCCGGTAAACGAGCTGACAGATCACCTGATGGTAAGCAATCGGCGTCGCCCAGTCGAACACCAGAGGCGCTACAAGTGCATTACCCAGTGGCGTGCAGTCCATATAGGCAAAAAGGCTTTGCCTACCTTACAAATACCGTGAATAACAACGTAATAAAAGATATAAACATTTTAATTTTACTACAGAATACTAAAATAATAATTATAATAAAATTAGTGAACGCCTAAAATAAATAGTATAGCAACAATGATGGCGCGCGATACGTGTTGCATTTCGCCAGGCGTACCGTATATAGCTGTAAACATTAACGCGCGAGGCAGGCACGCGGTTCCGTCGCCTGCAAACCATTCATAAATTTAAGCGTGTAGTGGTGAACGTCATTGTGTGCGTAGTGCACAGACGCGTTTATTTTATCGTCGCGAAGCTTGCCTGCAGGCACGGCCTGACGACTCGTGACTGAAGTTCGCCGCGAGCCGACCAATCACGTTCCGTGTCTTGGTTTACTCATTGGTCGCCTCGCAGCGAACTTCACGCCGCTCGCGCGTGACAATTTTTTTGTTTTTGTTTACGTGCGATGCGTGGATTTTCGGATAATTTTGTTATTTGATTTAGAATACGATTAGTAATTCTACGCAAATAATTTGTAGTAAACGGTATAAAATTGTCTATTTATATAAGTACATTTTATTACTGTGTTTGTTTATTTGTTAATTGATTTTGCAAAGTTATACGAAGAACTGTGAAGTTTGTATTGACAAAAGTTGGTAAAGAATTATAAACTATCGCAGACCATCGCTTAGTGATTAGATTGTGTGTGAGTTTTTCTTCTGATAGTCTTGTCTTGGTAAGTTCTATGAAAGTTACTTTATTTTAATGTGATTAGGTTATGTAACATAAGTAGGTACCTACGCGGAGCTTCCCGTCGCGGCAACTCAGTCAGTAAAAATAACGAAGCTTTAAGTAATATGTTATGTACTAATTATAAAATGAAATGAAGAAGAATAAGCTAGGTAAATGAATGTTTAATAATACTAAAAAATGTACTACCGCTTACTCGGCTCGGCCGCAGCCGGCCGCGCTCGGTTCGATTTTTCTATTAGTCATACCCAAGTTCTTAAAATCATAATATCTCTTGAATAGATGAACCAAACTTATTAATTCGAAGAATTAAATTAAAAGAGTAAAGAATTCGTAATATTCTTGTATTAAACGTGAGAAGGCTGGACAGGCCGCCAGTTCAGTACAATTTTTAGAATGAACAATTCGTTACTGCTACTGAATTGATAACATAAATTAGATTAATCGTTATACAGCACCTCGAGTAGGTAATTATGCAGATTAGTTTTACAAATCTAAAGAGAAAAATAGAATATTAATGTTTTTAAGTTGTTAGAGTAATCAATAAGTTGATGTAATACTTCACGAAAACAACGAGAGATGGCACTGTTACAAAGAATTGACGAAAGATTAAAAACCTCATAAGTTGAATTATGTTATGTATTTACGATGAGTTTAATCATAATACAATATTATGTTGCCTACCCTGTTCTAAAACCCTGTGCACGCCACTGGCATTACCAGCCTTCCATTTAGGAAGGAATTTGAGAATTGTTGGGGATTTAGGGATTGGGGAGATTCAGGGACACGCTCGCGTTATTTCACCTAGCTTCACTGACGGACTGACCGACAGTTTATTATATATTTTGTATTTGTTGACTTTTCAAAAGTACCAAATTATGGTTTAATTGAAATGAATGCTTTGACTTTGACTTTGACTTCAAGTCGGAAACTAGTTTGTAATAACCAACGTTTATACTACTGCATATCATTTGTCCCTTAATATTGCAATAACAAATGTCATCATTACATGCAGCAATAATAATAAATAACAAACAAATAACTATCAATACATCGAGTGCATAACGAATGATATAATGATAACGATAACGGACTTATTTCTATATAACTATTACTTAAATATATGCTTTATCTTTATCTACTAGTTTTATCAGGAAACTCACGAGATGTCTAGTGATGTTCTGTGGAGGATATTTATCCAAATACGGATACATTACATCGCGTCTTTTATCCCCGAAGGGGTAGGCAGAGGTGCACATTATACCACTGTACAATGTAACACCCACTTTTCAGTATTTATGTTATGAGTCCCATGTAATAGGAGGTGATCCTATTGCCATATACCGCGCACATTTCCAGACTCCGTGCTACTACTGAGAATTTTTGAAACCCAGTAGTTGTTGCCCGATTCGGGAATCGAACCCGAGATCTCATGCCCGGCAGTCGCACTTGCAACCACTTGTCATTCTTTGCTTATTAACTGTTGTGAGACATATTAAATTATGTTGTGATTCCCGTGTGGTTTTAACCGCTCTACTCGTCGCCTGTTGATTGTAAGGTGATGTTTCATCAAAGAATTTGTTTGTTTGACCGCGCTAATCTCAGGAACTACTGGTCCAATTTGAATAATTCTTCTTGTGTTCGATACTCTATTTATCAAGGAAGGCTATAGACTATAAACCATCACGCAACGATTAATAGGAGCCGAGCAGCGAGAAATTATAGGAGTAGCTAGTTTCGGATAAATATACGCATTATATTACCCCATCACTACTTAATTCTTATTTCAATGAACATGACATTAAGATATCATTCATGGAGACTAATCAGTTACATACATGCAGACGGCAAATCAAACTATCCCTTCTTCTTTATAAGATTTCCAACCTTATCTATTTGATATAAAGTCTAAAATCGCATGACAAATTGAGGCAAGTTCACTTGCGACTCGGCTATGTAAGTAGAAAGGTATACACACCAAGATATGAATAACCAGTATAAACTGATCTTTGAATATGCGGAATGATCATACATTGCGAGATCATAATACACTGGTCTTGGTTAACCAGTATAAATTGACCGTCGATTGTGCGGAAAGGTCTTATAAAGCGAGACCATGATATATTTGTTGTGAGTATTGTACTCTCACTGTTATCTACTAGTTAGTGTTTACTGTCAGTGCTAGATAACATTGTATGTCTAATTTTATCTTGGAGATAATAATGTCTCCAAGTATGAACTTGATGCAATCTGTCCGAGATACTGTCTCTAGTGTCTCATTTCTAATAAGGAGGCGGGCCCAGCCGTCGCGAAGGACACTCCGGGCATCGGGGATCGCGGGACTATCTCCGGCCACCGTAAGTGCGGGCCGGCGGACATAGAGCATGGGTGGCTCCCCGTCCGACCAGAACCAGACCCGAGCGTTCCGCGCGCGCCTCAAAGAGCCATCAGACCACCACAGATGGGCATCCGTGCTGGTCTGATGGTGATGTTGGAAGTAGGCAAGTGCAGGGCGCCAGGTTACACATGGGCGCCGCGAGACGCGCGAGCATAACTGCACATAGAGTGACTGCGGTGCCAAATAAATTCGGGGCGCCTATGAGGTACGTTCATGTAAACTCCCTAGAGATAGTAGTTGCATTGGTTTTCCCTTGCCTTCTGCACCTCTGCTCGTTTAGAAGATGTTTATCCTTCAAGATCACTGAACGCTCTTCCAGCCAGTTGCCCAGATGGGTATAGGGGTATACCGCCACAGCTCAGTCGCCAGAGCCTAGTTGTTCTCTAGCAGGGGTACCACGACGATGCACAATCATCGCTGCCAGTAGTACAGCACGTGCAGGTGAGGTTGACAGCTGGGGTCTACTAGATGTTATGTCGTTCCCTCCTCTACCCCAGTTCCAAATTTCATCCCGATCTGTTCAGCCGTTTTGAAGTAATTGAGTAATAAACATCCACACAACTCACCATGATGTGTATGCGCCGGCGCCTGCCTGTCGCCGTGCAGCAGAGGGACGCGCGCCTCCCCGACCGCCATCTTGTGACGTCACCACCTCACATTACTCGATACAACTGAAAAAAGAATAAAAATGGAGCATTAGTTAGATTATCAACTATCTATAGATATAGTAAGTTAAATTATATATTGTGGGCAATGGTGTAACCCACAGGTTACATATTTATTGTAACTGTTGTTTCATGTAAGACTTTTTATGTAAAATTTTAATACGTAACTGTTTTTTGTCCCTTAAATAAATAATAGAACACTCATAAGTAGACTTTCGAAAATTCTTGATTAGTTTCGAACTTTAACGGGGCCCATAACCACTAGCTGCGTGCACGACGAATGTCATCGAGCAGACAAAAATTATGAACTAACTAGTCGACGACGTGACTAAGTAATGAAGCGAAACTTAATTTCGTTTAAATCGCATGCTACCATCAGTTGACTGACTGACTTTTTTATGGCATAAGCCGGTAAACGAGCAGACGGATCACCTGATGGCATGGTAAGCAATCGGCGTCGCCCATAGACACCTGGAACACCAGAGGCGTTACAAGTACGTTACCGGCCTTTTGGGGATTACTTAGGAAAAGATCGAGATAAAAAAGGATTGTAACTTTCGTGAGACATACTAAATATATTATAATGTTTTCGGCTTACTCACGTAGTAATTTGACGAGGAACTCGAGGACGAGGAGCCTCTAGCAAGGCTTGAAACTAGTCGAGTTCCTCGTCGAATTATTACGTGAGTAAGCCGAAAACATAATAATTTATATAAAAGGATCATCATAACTTAACAATTTAACATCACGCCTTTTATGCCCTTAAGAGTAGACAGAGGGCACATTATGGTACTTAATGCCTCTGTACAATGTAACACCCACTTTTCACTATTTATGTTATGAGTCCCATTCCCATGTAATAGAGGGTGAGCGTATTGCCATATACCGGGCACATTTCCAGACTCCGTGCTACTACGTACTGAGATTTTTTTAAAAACCCATTATTACTTTGCCCGTCCTGGAAATCGTACCCGAGACCCCTTGCCTGGCAGTCGCCCTTGCGACCAAAAGCTTAGATAGATACCATTAGTTGACTGGACAACATGAGTCACTGTTTACATGTTACCATTAGCTCATGACGACATTACCTAATGAGAATGCCCCTATATTTATTCAATGCACAATTGGGATGACGACAGGGTATGAAAATTAAAAATATAATTAGTCCGTAAGTTAGGTAATGAACAAATATTAGACACGTATTTTTTTATTTTGTCGTATAATAAAACAATACTTAGATAAAACGAATCAAAGTTTAGGAGTGGGGGCTAAAACGTCATTTCTACGTATAAAATGTACATAGAAGTGACGTCACGCGACATTTCAAATCAATATATCGTCGAAAGTATTCGTTTCTGTAAGAAAATAAAAAATACGTGTCTAATGATTTAAAATAATCTACCAGACGGACATTAAAATAAAAATTAGGCATCTACCCTATT